GACAGGCATCGATGCTTATAGCCTTTTCAATGTCCCCCAACATTTACTACAGGCCCTTGTACAGTAGAAATGTTCAATGAGCATCAGATCAACAAATATTTATTGAGCATTATCTGTATAGCAACAGGTTATGGGCCATATTTAATGGATTACCCACTGAAATAACGGGTTCAGGGAAGCAACCCTAATAACTAAACCGCCAACTCCGAAGTGACCCCAACACATGCACATAAAGAGTATAACACAGAACAAAACATCTTTGACAAAGAAGCTGTGGGATTCAAGATACTTGACTCTTTCCAAATGTAAAAAAAGTCCCTTACCCTCTCATTACAAGAGGGGAATGTTTCAGCAGAAACAAGAGTGAGATGCTTTACATTTGTGCCCAAAGCAACGTTAACTACAGAATCACACAGGCTCTCCAGGGGGACCCTGTCTTCTGGACATGACCATGCTCTCCACAGAAGAGGAAAAAGCTTGGGAAGAGTTTGGCCTGTCCAAGGAAGTGAGTAGGAAGGCTGCCCAAGGCAGGAAGGCCTCAGAGTAAGAAGGTGAGATGGTCCAGAACACGTGGAGCTGTGTAGGACACAGGACTTCCTCTACTGCTTGGAGTGTGAACACTGGCGACTTTTTGTAATTCACTACCACCCTGGTAGAGTTCATACACGCTGTCAAAGTAAAATACCTTCCTTTGGGGCCCAATCTACTTGGGAATGGTCTTCCTTTTTAAATTTTTTTTCTAGTAATCTCTACACTCTACATGGGGCTCGAGCTTAGGACCCTGAGATCAAGAGTCACGTGCTCTGCCCACGGAGCCAGCCAGATGCCCCTGGTCTTCCATTCTTCTAATGTTTCTGTTCAAGCACAGAGAATACTCAGGAGCAGATTTTAGTTCTAGTTCTGCTGGGTACTCCGCACATGAATTCTAATAAGCTGTCAAAGGGAGATAAGAAGACCTGAACTGCATACTTCTGAGGGTACATGTGAGGATGTAGTCAGATAATGGATGGGAAAGTCATTTGAAAAGTTAAAAGCATTATACAAATGTGCAATAGCAAGGGTAACACTAGAGGGAAGAGACTCCACTGAGAACATGTATGAAATAGAATGGGTAGTTCAGTTTGACTCGGCAGTTTACCTTCCTTTCTTTATATTCCATTCATTTCATTTGACAATTACCAATTAGGTACTTACTATGTGCAAACAGTAGACACACACAAAGGTGAAGAAGCTGTAGATCCTGCCATCACAAAGCCTGAGCGGGAGAGGATCACGTCTGTGCTCCCTGGAAGGATATGGAGGTGCTACAGGAGTTCTAGGCATGTATGGAAGAGAGTAGTTTGGCAGGGGGAGAGGAGAGAGAATAATCAGTCTCCGAAAGGCTCTGAAGCCACTTCTTCCCTCGTTGATTTAACAACAGCAATTTTAGAGCCTCTTCATTTCAGGAAGTGGCTTACAGGTTCCGCATGTTTTTATCTGAAAATTTTTCCTGAGCTAAGGCAAGTCAGGAAATGGGAAAAAAAAAAAAAAGTCCTTGCTCATACATCCCATAAACATGTACTGTTTGCTGGGAACACTGCTAGGGATACAGTGATGACCAAGACACAGTCCCTTCCTCATGCACAGTGGAGTTACTGACAAGCAGACCAACAATTCAAGTACAGACACTAATGAGGGTCAGAGGAGGGGCACTCAACTTGGCTTGGCAGGGTGCGGGGGGCTGTTGGAGGAAAACCCTCAGAAGATGTGAAACCTAACCTGACTCTGTAAGGATGAGTGTGCATTGGCCAGATGGACAAGGCAATGAGGGGAGGAGTAAAGATGGACAGCCAGGTCCAGGAAGGCCTTATAAGTCATGGCCCAGAGTCAGGCCTTTATCCTGAAGATGATGGGGGAGGGCCTACATGGTGAGAACATGGTGAGGGAAAAAGGATGGATTTCAAGGAATACCGATACTTAAGGGGCAGCGGGAGGCAGAAGAGCCCAGAAGAGTCAGAAAACAATCATATGTGCATAGTCTATTTTTTTCTCACGACACAGTTGGGTGGTACAACGTCAGCCGGGCTTATCCTCTGCATGCCGTAGTTGGAGAAAACAAGATGGAGGAAGCATGGATGCCTACCCAGGCCAGGCTGTGAAGGAACCAGACCCTGAACTCACCCCTCTAACACCCAGCCAGATTTCTCTGTACAGACCCTCATTTCCTTCATCCTGAGTCAAACTTCTACACCCCTAATAGAGGAAGATTTCTTGTAGGCCTCCTTTCTCCTCATCACTTAAGCCTAAAGAGCATCAAGGTGTGTGGTTCCAGGGAAGGCTACAATTACTGGAGACAGCTAAGCCAGATTAACAAGATATATTATATTCTTAATTCTACTGAGTTCTCCCTCCTTACAACAGTAAAGACATGGACACACAAGAAGAGAGAGGGGGAAACAAGCAGGAGGAGAGGAGAGATAAGCACTGGACTTAGGCCCAGAGGGTGGATCAGTGATCTGAGATGTGAACATCAAACGCCTTCTGTCTAGCAGGGCACACCACTGGGCCAGCTGGCGAGAAGACATGTGGGTGGTCGGCAGACCAATGGACGGGTAGATGGTACAGGAAGGCAGCAGGTACCCACTAAACAAACGCGGTGGGCGAGCTGCATGCACAGAGGAAGCAGGGAACAAAGACCGCTCACTCTTCATGCAAAGTCCACAGTGTACAAAGGGCATCAATATTGGACATTTCTCACTGTGACATTTTGAGAGCCCAGCCTAGCCCAGAACAATGGTTACACTCTGGGGACCATGTGCTGCGTGCCCCTGGGCCTTATTCAATGATGGCTGGAATACCCCATGTGCTTGGTGAACTTGACCTTGGGCATCGGCCTCCTATCATGGCCCTACGTCACTCTGGTCTCTTCCCCCACTGAGAATTCCAGTCTCGGATGAATGGATAGATTCATTCTGGGAGCAGGAAAACCACTCCAGGAGTGAATCAGAAGGACCCAGCCCCGATCCCTTTGCCAGCCATTGAGCCAGGAACTGAGTGTGATTGTGTGCCCAGGCGCCGGTGCTGTTCCCCTCTTAGTGAGACAGGGTCAGGGTCCACGTAAGAGATGACGTAGAAGCCCTCTAAAGAGGAAGAAAAAGGAATCTCGGCATTGAGGGACAAAGCCACCCTTTTGGTTCTGACCCTCAGTCTAGGGAGGTGCCAAGCCGCACATGGACTAGTGAATTAATTCTACAGGATAAAAATCTCAGCTTTTGCTGAACAGTTGGTTGTCAATTTCAATTCTCTGCAAACTGACAGGCCTCAGGAAACAGGCTATTACTTTTTCAGAAAAAAAAAAGACTTCCTCAAGACAGGTGTTAACAGTATGCTTCAGATCACCAAGAGGATCTTTTACCCTGGTCTCCAGTCTGTTCTTCTCCCCATTTGTGAAGAAAAGATCGATTTTTAAAATTGTAAATGCCAATCTAAGCAATACAAAGCATTTGCACTTTCTGTTTTTTACCTTGAAAAATTAAGCAAGAGAATTCCAAAGATTCAAGATGTGGCTGGCAAGAGGACGTCTATATCACAGGGTCAGGGGATCCAGGCTGACACTTTAAGGAAGTAATTCCTCAAGGAGAGGGAATCGAAGGACTGCCACTTTTCTCATCACTAACTAGGTTATAACAAGATGGGAAAGTTAGCTTTTTAAGGCTCTAACCCCCTATCGGCCTCCTGGAGCAAAGGTGGAGGGAAAAGGAGCAGCTCCTGCCGGGGCTTATTAGGGCATTGCTCCGGGCTTCCCTCACGTGCTGGCACCTACTGTCTGACATTTGTCCATCAATCTTGTCTAAGAAGCAGGAGGGAGGAGGGGACAGAAATGGTTTAAACTTTACATTAGAGAATTGTCCTCAACGCTGACTGCCATTAGCTGCTTGTGGCTAGCGTGTAGTTTCCACTACACTAATGGTCAAATGTGAGCCTGCAAGAGCCTTCCTGAAGGGTACTCTACTACCTTCATTCACTCGTGACTAGTCATATTACATTTACTTTGCATAAAGAAACAGGCTAGACTATATGAGGGCAGAGTGGCAAACACATCCCATATGGACCTTGGATTCCAAGAGAGGTTTGATTAATCTCCTACATCTCTGGGGGTCAGTGTATTCATATAAACGAACTATAGTTGGACCGTCTTGAGGTTTCCGGTTGTGGTTATATGCAGGTCCTTGGGCCTGAAGGTAAGGCCCTTTGGGCAAACCGAATCTTACAAGATAAATCAACCATTACATATTACGAAGTCTCTACTATGAGCTGGGCATCATAGAGCAACGTACCTTCCGGCTCTGGAGTGGTGACTCTACTACTCTGAGACTCCTTAGCGTCTTTTCTGATGGCCTGCTGGTTCTCATCATGTTTTAAGCTTACCTATGTCTATTTTAAAGAGAAAGCAGTGAGTGGGGTAATGGCCCTGTTAGCGACGAAAGCTAGTTCAATCCCACACTGGGAGTGTGGGTGTGGGTTTTCAACTCTGGACCCACCCCCAAAGAGAAGCAAGTTCTGTCTCTCCAAGACAATGAAGTGGTGCAAAGGCTAGCCATCTGGAAGCGAGGGGATTTTTTTTGGTCGGTGAAACTGGGCCCAGACTGCCAGAGTGAGAGCCACAGCTCCGGGGCTATGGGAGCGGTGGAGAGATGCCCACGGGGGAGAAAGCATTGACTCCACCTCACAACGAGCATTTACAGGACGAGGAAACAGGAGACTTCCTCAGTTCCAGCAGCCGGGAGAAGACGGGACCGGTTCCTTGCAACAGAAAGAGTCAGGAAACAGACGCGGGATCCCAAGCCGAGGGGGATCCCTCGACCCAACTCCCGGTGAGTCTCCGGGAAAGCACCGGAGCAAGGGCCCTCAAACGACCAAGGGCGGCGGGTCCGTGCGGGCAGCGCGGGCGAGGGGACCCAGGCGGGCGCGGGCAAGGCGCACGGCGGGCCTGGGGCTCCGGCGGCTCGGCCCTCACTCACCAGCTCATGGTCCCGAACTCGGCCCTGCCGCCGGGGTCCTCGGCCGCGACTGGGTCCGCAGGGATCACTTCCGGATTCAGCCAGTCTCCAGGAAGTGACGCGACCACGCCTCCTGTGCCCGGAAGAGGCGGGGCGGTGGGCGGGGCGGTGGGCGGGGCCTCGCTGCATTAACCCTTCTGCAGCGGCGGGCGCCCCGCGCGGTGTCCCCGGCCCGCGACCTCGCGCCTTGCCTGGGGGGCTGGGGGGCTGGGGGGGGGGGCGGCGTGGGGACCCCGGGTCCTGAGACACCGACTTGTAAAATTCACATTCGTGCCTCTTAACCTTGCTACTGCCTCAGTTTTTCTGTGAAAAGTTTTCTAATCCAGAGACAGTAGTAGTCCTTGTTGATGGGGGAAGGAGCCAGTTGGGGGAAAGGGGGGGGGGATTACATTCACCGTATGGGATTTTTGTGTCTTTTAAATTGTGCACCCTGACCTTCCCCTACAAACACAGACACGAATGGACCTTCCCTTCTTCAAGATGGCACAAGGCTCTGAATATAAAATAGATGCTTTTTGGGTTGGAAACATTCTGTAGATTGACCCAACGGAAGAGAACAAAGAGTAAAGGTCTCCCAGTCCTTCCCTCTCCGCTCCCCTTTACAGAACCCAGGGGATGTGAACGGTCCCATTCCTTTTACTCTGTCATTTAACAAATGGGATCCTGCGGTGTGCTGGGCCCTGTGCAACCTCAAGGTCACAACCCTGAGAAAGAAGGTGGATCCTGCCTTTAATCCGTCCCAGGGCCACTTGCCCAGAGGGAGAGGTAAGGGGCACCTAAAGAATCACATGTGATGGGAAAGGACAGGGCGCTGGGCTGCCAGTCAGCGGCTCCTGCAAGCTGTACATGGCTTCTAGGAGAAGCCAAGTCCTGAAGGCAAAGCAGGCTAACCGGGTTGATCTGAGATGAGGGCTGCAGACAGTCCAGGCAGAGGAACCTGTCTTGGCTGAGAAGGGACCTGAGCTCCAGGCAAGCAGCTCATTTTGGCTCTCCCAAAGTCAGAGTTCAGGGTCTCAGTTCCTCGTAAGCTGCCTGGGGTCTTGGGCTGTGTTAGCCTCCTTACCCCCAAGAACCTCCTTGCCTTAGAAGAGAAAAGCAGGCGGTGAAGCTCGTGAAGGTAACTGCCAGATCCACAAGGGCCCTCTCTCTGGGAATTCTCTTTCAAATGGATCTTGAGTGTTTTAGGGTCATTTGGAGAGCAGCTAAGCCACTGAACAGATGTACGTTACTTGTTCTGCCTTCCCAGGGGAGTGTGGACGGCTTGGTCAGGAGGAGTAGGGAGGCTCAGAGGACTTTCTACAGGAGATGGTCCCTCGTTTCTGTTTCCTGTTTCCTCTGTGGAGGGTCTAGAGTTTGACTCCACCAAGGTTTTCCGATAAAGGGTGGGCCCCCAAGTGCGTTACACAGATTAGTTTCATCACCTTGTTATTCCTCAGGAAATGGGCCAAAATGAGCACTAGAGCATATTGAAGAATAAAGAGGAGGAGAAGTGACCAAAGAGCAGCCAGGACAGAGTAGGCAAAGGTAAGGACAGTCCTTGCTGCTTTGTACAAGGTGCGGTGGATGGATGATGGGTGCTGTGGTTTATGAATGTTCTGGCATTTTAACACCTGTGGATGGCTCTCCCACCTGCTTTTTCCTTTCCTCATGCTCTGTGTTATTCCCCCAAAGTGCTAAAGAATTTCCAAAAATATTAGCTTAGGCCATCACCGTATCCCAGGGGAAGACTGTTTCATGGCTGGGAATAGCAGGGACATCCCATAGGTCAAGAATGATGAGTTCTGAATTAAGAGTCTGGAGGAGTCCTGGGCTCTGGTTCCACCTTTGATACTAGGACTGACCTCAGGAAATCACATCCCCTCTCTGAGCCTTGGCCCCATTGTCCAGAAGATGAGTGGTTGGATAATATCACCAAAGTTGCCAACATGTTGAGGTTTTAAGTTGACTGTCTTGTTGACCGAAGAGGTCCTCAGGAAATAGGAAAATAGGGGAGGCCTGTGGGGTGGGGCCAGAACAGAAAGGCAAGCTCAGAGCAGCTCTGAGGGATCAGTGACATCTCGGAGCCCGCAGGGGGGTTGGGGGAGAGGGAGGGAAGGATTCAGCCCAAGGCCCAACTAGGGCTGTGCTGCTTACCTCCAACCCTGGCTCTGATGAGGCCAGAAGGACCTCTGAGGGTCCTGGAAAGAATGCTGGCCTTCTAGGAATCTGTCTGGAAAGTGCCTGCTCTGACTCCTTGTCTGTGGCTCATTTGCTCAGCCTGAAGTGTGCCAGGTTGGGGATGGACGGCCAGGTCCCCTGCTGTTCTGTGGACCCCCGAGCTTCCTTCCATGAGCGTGCCATGCCTTGTGGCACTGATCCCTTGGGAGCTGAACACAAGGAAGCATCAACACCTCCCACTGTCATAGAAAACTCAGCTATAGGGTCTCCAGACCAGGCTTGGGAGTTATGTCTTTCTTTTGGGAACCAACCAAGCAACAGCACCGTGCGGGTTAGGTTGATCCTGCCCCTCCAGGGGAGGGCTGGAAAAGGAGCAAATTGTTTCTACGTGGAAGCTGAAAGTAGAGGAGCTTCAGACAGAGGTGGATGCTCTTGGTCGCAAGCCTGGTGGAAGCTGCTTCCTCCCCTAGAGTATGAGTCTGAAGTTCAAAGAGTGTTCAGGTGGCAGAGATCTGCTTGGGTGGACAAAGTTCTATACCAGAGGGAGAGCAGCCAAAGAACCAGTCCTGCCACCACACCCCTCCCCTCTCCTTGGAGCTTTTCACTCAGAAATTGGTAAGTAAGTGCTCCCCACTGACCCTCCTCTCTGGTCTTGTCAGAGGTCTAGGACTGACCCTCCCATTCTTTCACCCTGCCGACCTCTGATCAGCTAAGAGCAAGGATTCCAGAACCAGAGCTGGGCCATTAGGGGTTTCATTACAACATAAGAACTGAGACTGAGGGGACTCACCTTCAGGGGCCGAATTGATGGGCTGAGCTCCCTTGCAGCCCTGAAGGTCTGTGCTCCTCGGGAGTCTCCTGCAGGGTAAATTCAGGACCCTCAGGTTTTTCTGGTTTCACTACCCACTTCCCTCTGCTCTGCATCTGCTCAGCAAGATGTCTCAGAACAACAGAGTTCCCTGAGCAGCCATGGGCCAAGGGCATGGGAGAGGACCAAGGGTGGGAGCTGATGGAATATATGAGGGTAAGAGTTTCCAGTGGCGGGAAGCACACCTCAATGGCTCAAATGTCAGTGCAAAGTGGCGAGTCAGAGGCTGGGCTAGCCAAGCCGGCAGGGCCAGGAATAGCTTTCTGGACTCCGGCTCTGTCTCCCAAGTAGCTGGAATGAGTCTCTTCCCTCCTCGGGGTCTCCTTTTTCTTGACTGCCACATAAAGAGTCCAGGTTATATCTGGGATGGCAAATGGGTGCCATCCCACTTGGCATCTCAAATTGCTTATTCCTAGCTGCTTGGAGCACCATATGAGAATTCTGGGGAGTCTGCCGTTGGTGGGGGAAGTTCTGTGATTGATTAGCAATGTCTGCCTTGGATGACTAATGAGGTATATTCTACTTTATCATTTAGTTGCTGTTATTATTTTTATTATGAGCTAGTAAATATCATGAGCACTCACAACATGGCAGGCACTATTCTCAGTGGTTCAGTTTTTGTTGTTTATAATGACCCTGTGAAGTAGGTACCATTGTTGTGATCAGCACAAAATACAGCTGGTAGGTAGGGAGATGGAATTCCCACCTGGGGATCCTGGCCCTGAGCCTCATGCTTTTTGCCACTATGGTACCCCACCTCTTACCTATGATTCTGGAAGTTCCTACTTCTAACAACCTATAGTTCTGCCAAGGCAAAGTGGAAGGGAGCAGCAGACAGTCAGGGACATGAGAAGCACAAACACGGAACGGTTGGGTTGGGGCTGGAGAGCAAGCCAGCGGGAGACCAGGCACCTAAAGGGATTCGGTGCCCGGCCTCATCCTGGGAGCTTTTATATGCTTCCTCCAGTTTGGCGAGCTCAGGACCAGCAGGTGGCAGCACCTGGCAGGGTGAGAGAAAAGGGCAGATTCCGGACTTGGCATGGAAGTCCTTTAGGGATCAGACAGCCCAGATGTCAAGGAAAGCAAGAAGAAAGGGAGTGTGCAGGAGGGCTAGCCAAGGTCCAGGAGGAAGAAGGACCGGGCCTCAAACCCATAGGGAGCTCCCATGGCCAGTGCTTTAGTTCCACCCGCAGCGTGAGCCTCTCAGCTTGCATTTCATGGTGCCTGCTGTGGGCTTTTTTTTCCTCCACTCTGGGAGAATGACTAACTTTAAGGACTAAAAAAAAAGTGTTTTGATTACACTGCCTTTTTACCAACTGGGAGCATTAGTCACCGTGGATTGCTGCAGATAACGGGGAAGGCAAGCAGCATCCCCCTCCTCCCCCTCCTTCTCCCTGATTAGCTCGCAGAAGCCAAGGAGGAGACGCGAGTGAGAAAGAGTGCACCCAGGAGGGAAAACAATCCCCCTGGACAACATGTGTCCTGGGCATCAGTCCAAGGGCTGCTCTGTCAAGGCTGGGCAGCCCCCTGATAGCTCGATCTGGATTAGGAGGTGCCCACTGAAAAGAGAACTGACCAGAGGAGCACTGAGCCTGTGCTCCCCAGGGTCTGAGTTGGCTCCAGGTGGCCTGTTCCTCTAGGTGGGTCTAGGGTCAACTGGAAAGGGAAGTCCCAGGGAAGTCACTGCAGCTCCTGAGGAGGGAGCATTGGTGGCCGAAGAGGAGGAGAGAGTCCACAGTGGCTGTGACATGGGGCTGGTGCCCAGGCTGTGGAGGGGCCAAAGAAGTGCCACCTCAGGCTGGGGCTTGCAGGGCGCTGCCTGGGGTTGAACAGTTCCTGCAGGTGGGGACTAGTCCCTGCTTTCCAGGCTCTACCCTCCAACCTTCTCCCTTCCTCTGCTTATCAAGGGGACAGTCTTTGGTACATTGGGTGGCCTTTGCTCCTGCTTTGGTGCTGATGGGGCAGGAGAGCCAGGGTGCCCTCCTGGTCTGTCCTGTTGACCTGGGTGCCAGCGATGGGAGCTC